CTACACTTTGCCAAACATTTCCCCATTACCCCATCCCCTGGCACCGGTAACTACTATTTTATACTCTCTGATTCCACAATTTTGATTGTTTTAGATCGCACACATAAGTAAGAATATTTGATATTTGTTTTTCTATGCCTAGCTTATTTCATTTACACTAATATCTTCCATGTTCATCCATGTTGTTGGAAATGACAGGATTTCCTTTAAGGTCTAATAGTATTCCATTGTATGTATATGTGACACTTTCTTTATCCACTCATCCATTGATGAACACTTAGTTTGATTCTATAATCTAGGTTAGCCCAAATAATGCTAAAATTCTTGTGGCAGTGCAGATATCTTTTAGACATACTGATTTTTAAGTTTTTTTGTTTTTATTGGTACATGTTTGCACTGCATAATTATTATATTCATCATGAGGAGTTGGTGCATTACATAATACATCTTAGTTGTTGGGTTTTTTTCCATCCCCTTCCCCTCCCCTGTCTCCCTCCTCCCTGCATCTTTTGGCCCCCTTCCCTGTTACAAACGATCTATCTCCCTATTTCCTATTATCTATCTTTTATTTTACTCTTTATTTATATTTTTGGTTTCTCGTTTTAATTTTTCTTTTTAGTGTCATTTCCTCTGTGCTTTCTCTAATGCTCACCTTCAAGCTACCTGAGGCAGAGTTAAGGTATTCCCTCTTCTTCATTTCTCTTGGGTTGTATTGTGTATATCACTTCCAGATGTATATTCAGTTATTGTGTAAGGGATACCTTAACCAGGATAGATTATGGAGATGTTCTTGAGAAAGATAGAGCTCAATTTTTGATACATCTAACTTTGGATTTCTTTAGAACACCCAAGTAGAAGTATACAGTATTCTGTTGAATGTGCATGACTTTACATCCAATGAAAAGTAACAGAAAAAGCTTTTCATCAGTTTCTCACATTTTTGTATATCTTGAAAGTAGAATATTCTTTGTTAAAGTTCTGAATATAGGGGAACTTGTTTACCGTGAAATAAGGATTCCCAAAGGTACAGTGGAATTGACCATGAAAGAAGTCAGTAGTGAAGGTTGCTTTAATGTAGAGCACTAGGAGATGAGAATGACCATACCAGTGAATTAAAAATAAACTGTACTTAATGATCTTTGCCTAGAAAATTCCCATTCATCCTTTAATTCTCTATGTAAGAGTCACCACTTCCACAAAGCCTTCCTCGATTTTTCAGAAGATTTAGGTTTTCCTTTCCTGTCACATACTTATTACCTATTTAATATATCACTTTCTGCACAGAATCTTTACTGCTGGTCAACAGTTTTTTCTCCCCTTTTCTTTTAGAATAAGACATAAGTGAATAAATTACAAAGAACACAGTCATTTTCCTTCATTTTTATTTGACTTAATATTTGTTGTTTTGCAGTATTGATGAAAAAGGAGAAAGGATTATCCGAAAGGGCTGATAATAGGACAACTGTAAGTAGACCTATCCAAGAACAGTCTTTTGCAGGGAAGAGGAATGACAGAGCTATGGGTTAGAGTAGAGAGGTGAAGGAAGGTTATTACATGACCAGTTGTCATTGAGGACGACCAGGAGCTCAAATGTGTGGTTGTAGACGGAACGCGTGATAATGAGAAAGGTATTGATAGGTAATGGCTACATTGAGCATCTGTATTAGATATTTTGTATATATTGCTTCATTTAATGTTCAAAACATCACTGCAAGTCACCATGAGGCTTAGAGATACTAGATAAAAGACTCAAAATCACAAAGCTGATAAAAAAGAAAATGTGGAATACTAGCCAAGAGTTTTCTAGCTTTAAACGCTTTTTCCAATACACCAATTTTTCCCAGATTGTGTTTAATATAACATTGGCATATGCATAACTGGCCAGAAGATGTTACACTAGTGGGCCACAACAGAGGGTTCTGAGAAGGCTAAATAGACAAATTTATCAGGTCTGTTAATTGCTAATTCTTCAGATATCTTGCTATGTTTATGTTTACAGTGAATCAACAAGAGGGAGAAAGTTCCCTAAATTAATTTGATTATAGTATCACTTTGTTTATAAACCACTCATGCCATTCTCACAACTCTAGCATCAGGTTGGTCTATAAAATGCTACATTCCACCATGACAGCAAATGTCACACATGTAAAGATCTTATTTTTTTTTACGGGGGAAAATGACTTCACTCAGCAGTCATAAATATATAGATCATACGGCTCAGTGGTCCTATGAGCCAGTTCACATTGTTAGTTGCCAACCTGTCATTCCATTACAGAAGTGCATATCAAAGTGGACTTATTCCATAGTAGAGGCACTGACATTTCGCTAACGATTGGCTCTGGATAGAAAATACTCCCTTCTCTCTTAGAAAAATTATGTAAGAAAAATTTTAGATGGACAACATTATCTGCTATTGATCTTATGCCATTTTAGGAGACACCAGTGTAGGTCTTAAACTAAAAAGACTTTGTATGTAAAAGTGCTAATTATAAACTCCTTAGGGAAAAACACACTATTCACTACTACATACAGGAAAGGGGGTCTACTGTTCTTCTTCAATTATTGCTCTACTTTAGGTGGCCATTTGGTTTTAATTATTTACCTTATTAGAGAGCCCACCCCACACTGTGTATATGGGATTCTTTAGGCAAACGAAGATGGAGACATTAACTAGCTAGTGGTGACTTATTTTTATTTTTCCATGTAGGTACTTTAAATGGATTGCATCTCCCTAACAATCTCAAATATAATCTATCTTGCTATTTTATTACATGTAGGTGACATTACAGTTCTAGCTGGCAAGTAAACACATTAGGATAAACATTTAATTTGATTTGACACAGTAGTGAAAAGTAGAGACTTTAGAAAGACACTATATGGACTCTAGCCAAGTGGCATGGAATGAGCAACATACTTGCTTCCTCTGTGCCTTAGTTTCCCCCACTATAGAGTAAAGGTAATACTAATTCCCACCTCACAACATTTTAGGTGAATTTAATGAACTAACACATATAAAGCTCTTAGACTGGTACTTGAAACAGTAATGCTATTTAATTGATAGCAGATTTATTCAGGGCTTCTCAAAACCTTTAATATGTTTCTATTTGTAAATCTATAAGAAACTGTACTCTACTAGAATTTCTAGATAATTAGACCTGTAAGATAAGAAAAAGAAACAAATTGTGTTAGATTTGTAAAAAAAATCAGACAGGACAGATATTAATCTCAGAAAAGTTTATCTACATAGAAAACTTAGAGAACTTACAATTTCTAGGTAAAGACAGTTCAGTCACATTACTACAAGTAATATTAATATACTATAATCAATTTAATTTCTACACACTATAAATTGAAACTAAAATATAAAAATAAAAACATTTGATAGCAAAAATACTAGATACCTAAGAAATAAATCAGAGGTCACATAAATCTGATTTCTACCAGAAATGGGGGTAGGGTTCAAGCAAGTGAAAGCCTTCGCCTTAGGATGTGGGACTTAGGTCAGCAAAAAGAACCATTTTTAGCCCTTTATTACCAGAGGAAGCCCCCACAGAAACGCAATCCTAGCAGGCAGCATAGTGTCCTAGCGCCAACAGTTGAGAGGCTGAGGCAGTATGATCACAAGACAGTTCAGCCTGGGCAATTTAGCAAATTACTGAGGCCTTGTCTTAAAGTAAAAAATAAATAGATCTGGGAGTGTAGCTCAGTGGAAAGCCCTGGGGCAGTCCTTGTAAGAAGGAAGGGAGGGAGGGAGGAGGCAGGCAGGCAGTCAATTCTATTGTTAGCTAAGGCAGTTGGGGCAGGTTGTCTGGAACAAGTGCCACCATCATCCTCCATTGTCCCGTGGAGGGTGCATCAGGAAAAAAGGGATGCTTGTCAAGGAAGGACTGCAAGCCCAGTCAGGAGAAAATACGAATATTTTGAGAACCTAGAATACAGAGGAAATCCCACAGAAATCTACCCAGCCATTCCTGTCAGGTCTGGTCAACACTCATACAGGCCTCTCAGGTTGAGGCGGCACCTCACTCCCATATTGATAGTCTTAGTGCAGGTGAGGTGGTCTTACTGCAGTGAGGGGATTGATCTTAGCGGTGTGGTCTCAGATCCACTGAGGGAGGGGATCCAGGTAGTGCAGGAAATCAAGGTGAGAAAGTGAGCTATGACTGAGACATTTTCCTACCCCTAGTTGAACAGAACCTGTGGAGTACTTCCCCTGCTGTCAGGCCTGAGAAACCCCAGGCAGAGTCTCCGGGTGTAGTGTATACTAACTTCCGCAGGAAGAAGGTGGCACTTCCAATGAAAGGGTTGGACTTAGCTAGCAAATCGGAGGAGTTCGTGGCACTGTTAGGATTCAAGGTGGACTAAGAGGCTCTCTTCTTGACCACTCTTCCCCTGTTTTTATCCCTGAGTCACTCGAGACAGGGTTCCCGGATGTGATGTACGCAAACATTGATCTTGGAATCAGAGTGATTTTTTTTTTTTCTGAAGGGACTCCACTTGGGTCTACAGAGGTCGTGTGCCAGGCAGTGTCAAACATTAAGATGAAGATATAGGGGGCACTAGTCCTACCCCACCTTGTCCGTTGACACTGGGAGGCTCCGGGCAGGGACACTGCTTTTGCGATTTCCGGACTTCTGACCACGGAGTCTGAGGGAGGTGAGGGATGTAGACTATAGTTACCAGAGAGAGGAGTACCAGGCCCAACAGTTTTAAGGAATGTGGGGGGTACTTTTAACCACATCGAGTAGGGCTTGGAAGAGTGGCGGGGTTGGGGTCGGGGATAAGTCCCACCTTACTCATTCTGACAACTTGGGAACGCCAACAGGAGTAGGGGGATGTGTTTCCTGACATCTACTTTTAGAGTGTGATGGTAGAGAGGCTTTTCTGAGGAAGCTGGACTCCACTCAGCAGAGGCCAGTGTCCCGGCAATATCAGACATTAAAATGAAGGTTGTCAGGGAGGAGCCAAGGTTCCCCGGATGTGGGAGGTCCTGACTTCCATTTTGGAATGGGAGGCGCTGCTTTTTCTGAAGGGGCTCCACTGGGGTCCTCAGAAGTGGAAGTCCCAGGCAGAGGGAGACAGGTAGGTGAGGTGAGAACGCCAACGGGACCTCTAGCAGACAGAACGTAGGTCATTGAAACCCACTCCTATTGTCAGCCCTCCCCCGCACCCACCCCCTCTTCAACCTCACCCCCGCACCCCTCCACCCCTGCCACTTTCCTTTCAGGGCAGTCAAGCAGAGACAGGCTCCCTAGTCCTCCGTACTTCCCTGTTGGTGTCTCAGAAAGGTGGGAATGTTGGCTTGAGAGCTGCATTCTCAGTTCCGCAGAAAGAGTACAGTTCAAGTCCTGTCAGCAGAAAATACGAAGAACTTGCGGAGGACTGAGGGTACCCCACCAGAAAACCCAAAAGAACCTCCATAGAAATTCACCCTTATTCCTGCTGTCAACTCTGGGGACCCTAGGGTATGCTTTCAGAAAGGCCAGGCCTGTGCCAATTAGGGGAGGAGTCCCAAGCCCTGCCAGGCATAAAGACTCTTAGGTTGGGCTCAGAGAACCATAGAAAATTGCTCTTTTTGCTGAGAGTCCCAGACACAGTTGTAAGGCAATGGTACCTCCTCAGTCCCACTCACTACTTTGTCTGAAGTCTCTGGGAGATAGAGACCTTGGGCTAAGGGAAGCACTCTCAAGCCAGCGAAAAAGGAAAGGTTGCATACCCCCAGTCAGAGCTCAGACAAGTCTTGCCCTGGCAGTGAGCCCTGGTAGACTTTATTCAAACCAAGGCCCTGGTATACCTGTTGGTCTGAGGCTCCACCTCACTTCTTTTCTTGATGGTCTTAGTGAATTTAGGGCCTCTTTCCAAGGGGTACAGTCACAGGCCAACAGAAGGAAGAGCCTTATCTCTGCCAGGAATCAAGGTGAGGACTCTGGGAGAGGACCTCCAATAGGAAGCAAAGCAGCTCCAGCTCTGTCCTGCTCCTGTTATCAGCTCTTGGGGATCCAGGATAGGACTTTGTTAAGCACCAGCACCTCCTGAAAACCTCCTCACTTATCTCTGTTTCTCATCTGCCATCTGGAAGATGGAGGTCTTGGCCTGAAGAATGCATCCTAAGAGTAGCACAAGGGAAAGAATGCAGGCCCCATCCAGAGTAAATATGAGTACCTTCAAGAGGATTGCGGGTAACTCTTAGACCAGACAATGCAGTGCAGGGAGACCCCATAAGAAACTTGCTGCACCCTTATTGTTAGCCCTGGCAAGCCCCAGGTAGTTCTCTGTGAGAGTCTCCCTTCATTTCCAGCTGGCCTGGTAGTGATTAGTGATGAAGGGCACGCGTGCGCGTGTGTGTGTTTGTGTGTGTTTAAGAGGAACAGATTCAGGTCACCAGGGAGAAGAATACCAGGCTCTGCTGGGCTTGGAGGCAAGGGCCTGAGGGAAGACTAAGTATATTTACCACTTAAGGACATACTGACTTGAGCCCTCACTGTCAGCCATAGAAGATCCTGGGCAAGGTCTGCTGTATGTGGCATGTCCTCACTTTTGTCTCATTGGTCTCAGGGAGGTGACAGCCTTGGCCAAAGCAGATAACTTCACAGAAGTAGCCACATCTGGTCATCCCATGGAGGAGATCCAGTATCTGCTAGGAGTCCAGGTAAAGACCCTGAATAAGAAGTGAGGGGACTCCCATGCCTTTGGAGAGCTGGGGCCCCTGTCCTGAGTGGCCCTGGTGCCAGGTGTCAGATATAGTGTGTCTGTCCTCCTCTCTGGTGGTCTCAGAAAGCTGGACTCTCAGATCTTTTCAGCAGTCAGTTTGAGGATGGAGGGGGCATCTGCACAAGAACAGATGGAGCTCAGCACCTTCTTGCTCCTGTACTGAGGGCTAATCAGACCCTCAGCTACCTTTTGGGGGGAGCAACAAGGAATAAAAAGAAAGAGACAGAGACAATTTTCAAGATATAAAAGGGGGACCAGGAGGAGACCTGCCTCTTGCAGACAGACCTGAATAAAACTCCATGATTGACCCACTTTTATTAGCCAGGGAAAAGCGCAGGGGGTGAGGTAGCATGAGTTTCATAGAACAGCAACTATAGAGAATGGGTAGATAAGGATTAAGTTAATGAGGAACCAGATTTTCTCTACACTCAAATGCATGTATATCAACAACTGTCCTCAGCAGATGCTATCTTACCTCAGGAGTGCATTGCATTCTGCCCATAAGGGGCATGCAGCATTTCCTGTACTTCCCTCTTCCCAAGGCAAGATAACACCACCTCAAGACTGTGAGATCTGAGTTAAGTAGCCTAGTCCCAAACACTCCTACCTTTGAGAGGGCCCATCCACTTCTTAACTGTAGAGACCTCACAGAGTTTAGTCCCACCCATCAGTCTCAGGGTGTGCCTGCAGTCTGTAATCTGGGAGCACCTCAGTTCTTCTTATAGAGGGTTCAGGAATGGGGGAGAAGGCCTTGAAATGAGTCATGTGTCCTCAGACCACGAGCCATGGTGAGATGAACACCCTGAATGTGTCTGAAGGAACTTACCACCCTGGGACAGAGAGGACTCCACAGCTCTTGACCCCAACTGCCTCACTGTCAGCCCTTGAAGCCTCAGACTGTGGTGGCTGGCTGTACGCTGAAGCGCTTTCTCTCATCCTCCTCCAGTTGATAAGGTTAAGTTTCTCATGTTCTTCTCTCTATTCCAGGCCAGTTGATTCCATCGCCCTTCTCCTGCCCACGCTCTTGCTAGCTATCCCCAACACAAGTTACGATGCCTCACAACCAGAAACATCAGCACTACCAGTCTCAGGATGAAAGAGAGGCACAGGCCCTGGTGGCTGGCCAGGTTCCTGCAACTGAGGAGGTAGATACCACAGCTGTGTCCTCCTCTAGTCTGATGCCAGGCACCCCAGACAACGCGCCTCCTGCTGCTACCAAAACACCAAGGCTTTCTGAGAGTCTTCAGAAACCGTGCTCTTCCTCCACTGCCATCAAAGCTACTCCATCAAGCAAATCAAATAAAAGTTCCAGCAGCCAAAAAGGGAAGGATCAGAGCACCTCACAGGCTCATTCATACCCTGAGTTCTTGCTCACTAATATTCTAGAGAAGAAGGTGATTGAGCTAGTGAAGTTCCTGAGTGTCAAGTATACAACTAAAGAGCTTGTTACTGAGGCAGACATGCTGAAGAGTGTCATCAAAGAGCACAAAGACGACTTGCCTGAGATCTTCAGGAATGCCTGTGAATGGATGAGGGTGATCTTTGGCATTGATGTGAAGAAAGTGGACCCCATTAGCCACTCTTACATGCTGGTCAAAGCACTCGACCTCACCTATGACGGAAGGCTGAGTAATGACCAGGGCATACCCAAGACTGGCCTGCTGATACTTGTCCTGGGTATGATCTTTATGGAGGGCAACTGCGCCCCTGAGGAAAAGATCTGGGAGATGTTTCAAAAGATCGGGGTGTATCCTGACAAGAAGGATTTCATCTATGGGGATCCCAGGAAGCTCCTCACTAAAGAATTGGTGCAGGAACAGTACCTGGAGTACCAGCAGATACCCAACAGTGATCCTGCTCGCTATGAGTTCCTGTGGGGTCCAAGAGCCCATGCTGAAACCACCAAAATGAAAATCCTGGAGTTCTTCTCCAAGGCCATTGGCAGTAGCCCCACTGCCTTCCCGTCCTTATATAGGGAAGCTTTGAGAGATGAAGAGGAGAAAGCCCAGCTTGTCACTGCTACTAGGGATGGTACTACTGCCACGGTCAGTACACAGGCCAGCACCAAGCACAGCAGCTTCTGCCCTCAGTAAACTCTGAGCCAGATTACTTACTGTGTGTTGGAAAAGGGCAGTCAAGGTTATTAGAAGTGAGAAAATTTCAGGTTATTTTTTTCTTTTTGGTATTTAAAAAATTCCTCTTACAAGGTTTATTATTTTCAGAATTTAGAGTCATTTGTTACATTGGTTGTACATTTATTGCTGTTTTTCAGGTTTAAGAATAAGAGTGTTGCTGCTTTGAAAAGTAAATAGAGAAAGCTCTTGTCTTATTTTGTGATCTAGAGCAAGATAACATGGCACTGGAACAGAAATTTCCTTAGAAATGTTAAAGAGCCCAGTAATAGATGAGTTCGATAAATGCAGGAAAAATGTAAAAATTGATACATCCTAGGATTTCTGTATCCCTTTTAGTCTGCCATTTTGTAAAATTAAAGATATATACCTCATTTGCTTGGCTTATTCAAGAATGCTTAAGAAATTAAACCTTACTACATTTTAAGAGTCTCGACTTACTGGCTCATTTATTCCCCAAACATTAATTGTGCATCTGCTCATCAGAAGGCACTGTGTTAGCAGTGGAGAGTCTAAGATAAGAAAGGGAGGTGATGAGATGTCCTCTGAAACATAAAGGGCAAGAAGTAAAAACGGAGTGAGGAGGTGGAACTCCAGATGCCAGCAGTCAAGTGTAAGTGCCCTGAGCCAAAGCTTTCTGAGGGCTTGGGAACTTCCAGTTCCTTCTATGGGAATTAACTTTATGTTAAGCTGGGTGGTAGCAAAGACCAGGCTGTCAGTGTGTCTTGACAGTGGAAGGAAAGATTCCAGTGGAAAACTGCTCTGAGCAGTTGTTTTGGATCATGACTAAGCCAGAAAGGAGTCTCCTTGGGCTCTAAATCCAGCATAGTTGAAATCAGTGCACAGACTAAGTGCTCTGTGATATGTATATCAGCCACAAGGCGTGACTGAGAAATAGATGATGATACTTTTCCTGTGGTGCTCCCTGAAGCCTCTTGGTTGGCAGTCTTTTCCCTGGCCTGGGAGAGCCAGAGCCCACTCCATTGAAAGGACTTGTACAAATAGGTGTCTTGATTACAGTATGGCCAACCCTAAGCAAGGGTTAGATTTCGGTGAAAGCGAAATGAATGAAAATAATGGTTTGGATGGAAGAGAAGCTAGGAAGGACCAAAGTTATTAATTCTTAATTAGATTCTAGAAACTTTGAGCTATGTATTGTTGGGGAAAATTCTCTCACGTAGAAGTTAAATAATATGTCTATAACCAGGGGAACTTTACTGAGTTTTAGTTACAAAATACATTTCTGACCCATTTGCTGAATCATATCCTAGAGTGCATGTTCTCTGAGATGTCCTTGATATCTCTCTCTCTCTCTCTCTCTCTCTCTCTCTCTCTCGATGGACTTTGACTCCTGATCAGAATTCATTTAGGCCCACACCATCCCCACTCCCCTCAGCCCGAGGCAGACTTTCCATCTCTCAGTTCTGTTCTTTTCTCAGAAAATAAAAAGGAGAAGAACCTTGAGGCCAAGCTATAAAAGCAGACATAGAGAAAGAGGAGACATGAGAAACACAACCTGAAGATTAGCTGTGGAGGCATCCAGGGTCCTCCAGCCTGAGTCCCAGGATTCTGGAGAGGTATTTCTGCACAGGTGCTGCGCTTTTGCCCCCCCCCCTCCTTCCCACGATTAGAGCATCCTCCCCTTTTCTGTAATAGCAGGGACCCATTCCATGGAACACTGCACTTTGGAGAATGTTTTCATGCCTGGTCATCCCTTCTGAGCCTCTTCAATGCACTCTCAAATTAATTTTCCAATGAGCTGTGAATCTGTGAATAGGGTCTGACTTGCACACAATTTGCTGGTTCTTGAATACAAGCCTAAAGTTAGATTCTGAAATCACATTGATATCTGCAGTAGGACTTGGATAAGGTGTATTACTTGAAACAGGCCACTGAGCACATATTCAAATGCGTATGCATACTTGGGTGAAAACCAAAGCCTCACACAAGCAGTAGATGAGCAAAGTTCTGTAGAAAATCAACCAAGGCTGAATTCCCAAAACACTAATTCTTTTAGGAGGTGAGCAGTGTTTCCTGATGGACAATTCCAGCTCTGCTGAGGAAAGAACACAATGGTTAACCATTCCCCCAGCTGCCTCCTGTCCGTGTTTCTGGTCCTGCAGGAAAATCTTGGTTTGCAATTTACCTAACGGCACATGTACAAGTGTTGAGGAATGGCCAGTCTTGTAAAGAGTAACAGGGACTCATAACTTAAGATTTTGTTCATGTATCAAATAGAGAAAAATTTTCAGCCTCATAAGCTCACACAATCTATTGCAAAGAGCAGTGTAGATCTCCCTGCTAACATTTACGGGACCGATTAAATAACAGATGTGATCTTGTTCTTGAAAGCATGTGAAAAGTTAGGGAATTTCAAGGGAAATTTTGTTTTCTCACAATCTCCTTCAAGAAGTCAGGTGGTTATTGTCATAACAAGTTATAATGGTTGCTTTTAATTGAGCACCTACTATATGATGGCTTATGGAAAAGACTAGAAGCACACATCCACATCCTGTCTTCCTCTCCTTCGTGGGCTATTCCCCTGCAGTTAGGCAGGAGCTAAGGTGCCATTTCTAAACTTCCTTTTCCATTTAGAAACAGACCTGGATGACCTGTGCCAAGATGACAGAGCTAAACATAGCAGCAGCCTGGATCCCTGCGTGGCCTGAGAGTAGAAGGCTCTGCCACTCAAATCAGAATTTATGTGCACAAAAAATAAATGACTGCATTAAGCCATTAAGATTTCAGGATTTGTGTGATGCATATGCTAGCAGTTACTTAGGTGACTAGTACAAAGCTTCTGTATTTATAAAATGCTGCATTTTAGTATGCATTAAACATTTTATATTTATACTGATTCATATTATAGTAATTTAAATATTTCGATGAGCCAAAGAGGTCCTAGGCTTTGCAGTTTATGAGATAGTTTCATTCCAAAAGTAATTGTGCAAATGTACTTAACTGCAAAAAAATTACTGAAAATACAGATCAATCATAATTCTCACTTATCTTTGCAAAGTTTCTCCTAAGTTCACTCCCCCTCAGAGTATCTACAATTAATAATCTGATATGTAATATTTAAAAACCAAATCAACATCTTTGAACATGAATTACTATGCAAATGTATATTTTCTCATTAGAAAAATGTTGTAATGTGGAAAATTGGTTTAAAGTGGAAAGTGTATGAATATTTTAAATTTTTATAAATATTACTGGAATTATATTCCAAAAAGTCTGCAGCATTTATTTTCTCTTAAGTTAATAATACCCTACATTCTCAGAACAATTTTATACTATAAATCTTTTAAATTTGGAAAAATTACAAGAGAAAAACTATTCTCACTATTGTTTTAATTTGTACTTCCCCATTACCTAATTAGGTTAAGCCAAAACAATTAGCTTAATCCCTTGCTCATACAAACCTGTGTTTATACAGTTATATCCAGAGTAATGGTATTCCACTGGGCATCATTTAAAATTATGAAATACCAACAGAACATTTCCTCTTCTCAAAAAGGAAAAGCAAGATTTTTTGAGAATATTCAGGACCCTGATCAATCAGACAGGATACTCTCATCTAGGATTCAGAGGACAATTGCCAGAGTCCCTAAGCAAAACCACATACGAATCCAATCCAGTGCACTCAAAGCTAGCTGTCACTCAGGACTCTAAATCCACAGTTCAGTGTACAAGGGAGTAGGGTCCAGAAGGATGGAAGGTGGAGAACCAGGGTAGAGAGGGTGGTGGCATAGGACAACTTATGTGAATAGGCTTGGGGAATCCCTGAATCATCATTACCAGCTGGTGTGGTCTGAGTAGGCAGATTTATTGAAGGAGTGCACCAGCAGCATGCTAGATACCACACTGTGCCTTAGATTTGTCCCTGTGTCTTGTCAAGAAGAGTATGGTTGGGTCTTCTGCATCATTCTGAGTGAGCCACCTTTCCTGACCCCTCTAGTGGTCCAGAGCACCCTGGCTATCTTGATGCCTCCTGGAGGCTGGTATGTTCTCCTTCATAGCTGATCTCCTGCCTAGAGACTGGGACTGTGTGATTGAGTGTGGTAGGTGACTGCTGGCTAGCAGCTGACACAGGCAGGAACACCAATGAAAAGTGAAAGGGAGTTTCCAGCTCAAGGAGGAAGAATTGGAGCGGGAATGGGCTCAGACTAATTACCTCAGTGACTATTTGGGTAAAGGGTGACTGTCCTGTGGCTATAAGTGCTAACTCATGTTGCCCCCAGATATTCTCAGGGGACAGAGGACTTACCATGTTGCAGACACTGGAGGGATGGGTGGAACACCTGCATAGTTGTGACAAATACTTGATAAATTGAGATTTGAGGTGGTGGTACAAATCAAGGAGCATCACGTGTCATGCTGCTGAGAGAGTGTTTAGGCCTGGGGACGAGGTGTCTATATTGACACCATCAGAGATAGATTCCACATTTTGAATCTAGGAATGTGATTCTCTGATACTTTGATTCATTTATGCATTCATTCAGCAAATACTTATTGAGTACATGTTGAAGAAAAGCACAAGAAAATGACAAAATACTTAATTTAGCCTGGAGGTTACAATTGGTAACCCAACTCTCACAAAACATTCTTAATCCAGGGATCAATTTAAAAAGAGAAAGCACTCATATAGGTTCCCAGCTCTTGTTGAGAGAGCAGGATTATTAGCCAAGAGTAAGTTTCTGTCAGAACCCGCTGTCCCTAAGGGGGCAAGTACAATTCTAGGTGCTACAAAAAGGAACAACAAGCAACTATGTTTCCTGCAGAAGACCCTTCCTCACACACGCACTCCATCACACTACTACACAGATGTCTATGTGCACTCCATTCAGTCCAATACATTGAATTCCAGTTTGGCTGTCAGGGTTTCTTTTGCAATGTTTAATCAGCCATTAATCCAAACTAGTATAATTTTTACTTACATATTGTAATTTTATCTCAAAGTTTATTTAGGCCTTTTATTATATCTTCAATGTCTGCATTTTACACATTTAACAACCTCTTCTTGAACATGTGAAACAGTTATAATAACTGTTTTAATATCCTTGCCTACTAACTCTATCATCTGTGTCAGTTTCGATCAACTGCTTTTACTCTGTAGTAGCAATCCTAATTTCACTCTTCTTTGCATGCCTGGCAATTTTGATCGCATGTCAGACACTGTTAATATTACCTTGTTGAGTGCTGGATATTTTTAACACTATAAGTAAACATCCTCAAGCTTTCTTCTGGGACATAGTTAAGTTACTTGTAGATAGTATGATCCTTTCAGATTTTACTTTCAAATTTAGTTGGGTAAGATTACAGAAGTGCTGAGTCTATAGCTACTATTGCCTCATTACTAAGGCAA